TTTTTTTTTTTTGTTACGTATTTTGAAATTTAAGGTTATGGGCTTGGTCTTGTGGCAACGTTCTGTGCTTTGACGGTTATGGAGAGTGCTCAACCGGCTTTGATTTATTTAATACCATTTACACTAATTCCAATAATTCTTCTTTCAGTAATTAGGGGAGAATTCAAGTTGCTTTGGCATGGTCGCTTCAGTAAAAATGAGGTATGTTTTCTACCTTTGAAGCGTATTCTCTATTGAGCTTTCGTTCAAACACATTTACTCAGAATACTTTAATTTTGGTTTGAAGGACAATGTTTTTACTTTCAAGTACACTATGCTGAATGTTTTGTTTACGCTGGCTTCTGCTAGTATAATTCTTTTTTTTCACGTTATCTCATTTAGGGTATTCTTTCACCACAAAATGAGGATAGAATTACTTCTGCACAAAATTTATCGACTAACGAGACCTTGTCATCTTCTGCTTTATCAGCTGGAAATGAAGTTGTTTTAAATAACGAACCTTGACATGTTGGCTTTTACTGTTTCTGAGAATCCGGTGCTTTTTAGCTGTTATCTCACTTCAACTACATTTACTGTGGTTTAGGGATCAGTTAATACTCAATTTGTGCAAACAAAAATTCTGCAAAAAAAGTTCTTCTTTGCTTTTTAAGTATACTGCGATATAGGTACCAAAACCGAGCAATTTTACGGTTTCAAAGTTTCTAGCTTCTTCATGACTTTCACTCACTTAGCTTTTTTAATTTTGGGTTATTAGGTTAGTTCGGAGCTGACCATTTTAATATTTCGCACTCATTTTTAAAAATCTGTAACAGTTTTTTTGTACTGTAGTAATTAGAGTTTTGCTCAGAAAAATTTGATTTTGTTTTTTTGCTTTCTTTTTTTTTCATTGTCACTGTTGCTTTTCATTTGGTGAAGTGTTTCAGAAAGTAACAGAGAAAAGAACCTTTATTTTGTAATATAAAAATCTTTCGGAATAACTGTTTGTACTAAGATATTTGGAACTCTGTTGCCTCGTTTCTTCTGAATTTTTAGCCAAGTGAAGTTTGAGTGGGAAATAATTTTTTCAATCATGATTTATTATATACTTGTGTCTTCTTTAATCTTTCAAATTTCTGTAATATATGTCTCCAGATATCTGAAGAATGGGTCAGTTAAGAATTTATAGATTAGGATTATGTTTCATTACATTTTGTATTTATAATTTGTTAGCAAGTTAACAAAGTTGATTATTTTAGCTGTTACGGCATTTTTCTGAGGAAGCTGATTGTCTATACGGGTAATATCATTTTAGCCGAACTTTAATCAGCTTTAATGAGAGTATTGTCTTGTAAATTAGATCATATTATGCAGTTAGTGTCGCTTGTTGCGGTATCATATCTATCGTTTTTGAGTGTTCAAGTGCCGTACTTTTTTGCTCTTTAGAATTTGAAAAGGTTTATTGGAAAATTAACCAGTTGAATGCTGAGAAATCAAATTTTTTCTTTGTAATATAAGATGTGTATAATTTCTCAGCAGTTTAAATGTTCAGTAAATGATTTTGTTAACTACATTTATTGTGTATGTTGACTATCGAGCAACAGCAACGTTTTTGCCCGGAAATCTTTTTGCTTCTCTACTTTTTGCGTTACGTTCAGTAAACACCGTAATTGAACTAGACAGTTGAATTTGGATCTTAATAGTTATTTAGCAATAGCTTGAGAAGAAAACGTCTGTTTGATGTGAGTAAGAGATCAACGATTTACGAGAAGAAAAAAGTTGAGGCAGTTAGGATGGTATTTTGTTGTTGTTTTGTCCATCTGTAATTCCTCTCATTGATGATCGTTAAATCTGTATCTGTTTACGAAGTAACATGTTGTTTTCATTTTCTAGCTTTTGAGGAAGCTTTGGACGGGGTGCAATTATTTTTAATAGGCTGTGGTGGTGTTAGGGAGTTTAAGCGCTATATTTTTCTTTGTCATCTTTTGGTTCAATGTTTGTAAACCTGCAGTCATCGAGTGGCCTGATGGTTGGCGATGGATTTGTAGGACACAATTTTGACAAAATTGGCATAACTTTTGGTGAGATAAAGGTTTCCGTCACTGATAATTGGTGTTCTGCCGATCGCTTTGTGATTGTTTTGCTCAATTAAACCATCGAAGAATTCTGAAACTGAATCAGACGGCCGTTGAGATTTTTTTTTTTGCCGTGTATTATGCACTATGGAAGTGGAGGAAGTTTGTTGAAAAATACATTGTGATTCCGGACTGTATGACAGGTGAAGGAACAATCTTTTTTTCTCAGTTAATATCTCAATAATGAGATGTGATACGGAGGACAGTATAATACATTGAGAAGAGAGTGGTCTAAATGAACGGTGGGAAGGTTCTCAATAAAAATTGGAAGGTTTTTTTTTTCTTCCTTTGTTTATTTAGATCAACCTAAGCAAATCAATTATCACATAAGTTGAGTACGAAAATGGTATATAGAAGTCGAAAAGTGAATGAGAAAAGAAACAGAAACAAAAATGGAAACCAAAGCATTGGAGTCGTAACTTTAAACCTGAGTAGTTACAAAGATCATTGGGTTAAGTTGGGCAGTTTTGAGGTGGTAAAGA